TCTCTTATTTTCTCCTTTTAATGATTCTTTTCCAGTCTTCTAATTCTCCTGCTGCCCCCAGTCTGCCAAATAATCGTGAATATATGTGTATGTGTGTGTGTGTGTGTGTGTGTGTGTGTGTGTGTGTGTGTGTCCCTCTTCCTCTCTCTCTCTCTCCTCCCTTCCTGCTCATTCCTGCCCCCCCCATCATTCCCCAAAGAAATATCTCTTTAGTGGTTGGATTGCAGACACTATTGGAATAGGGACACATATTTGGAAGAGAGCTACCCTGATAGTTCTCATCACCCCCACATATATATGCTCTTAAATGATCTGTTCCTAATTTGAGTGAATGGGCATTATTAAGGACCACTCCTGCCTACCTTTTGTTCATAGCATTATTGACTTAAAGCTGCAAGGGACTTCGGAATTCATCTAGTCCAACTTTCTCATTTAATAAAAGAAGAAACAGAAGCCCAGAGAGGCTAATTAGTTTACCCAAAATAACACAGGTATTGTCAGGGTCTAGGGTTGAACTCAGGCCCTATGTCAATAAATCCAATACTTCTGTTTCCACTTTACCCCACAGCCTCCCAGAGTCCCAGGTCTCTGTACACATTATGTGCTAGTGATGGAAATAAAACTGCAATCAGAAAGAAAAAGGAATTCTTTCCCTCAAGGAAATTACAATTTCAAAGGGAAAGACAATACATAAAAGGAACCTGAAAGGAGGGCCTCGTGGTAATAGAAGAGAGGTAACGTTTAAGAAAATCCAAAGTCAGAAGTGATAAAGGATATGTGTCTGTCCCAAGCACTTTTCTTAAAATAGAGGTTCTGATAGAAACTAACACATCAGAGGAAGGTACCACAAAGCAAAGTGGACTTCCTATGTGAGAAGGCCAGAGACAGAGCTAACTTGCAGGGTTGGTAAGCTGTTTTGGCATATAGGAAAAAGTCCAGAGAGTCGGAAGCAGAGCCTAGAAAGGAATGACCATCTAACTTCTTTCAGTGTGGATTTCAATTATACTTTTAAGAAATGTAGGTCTCTGTGTCCCTAAACGTCCTGATCTCCCTTGCCAAAACAACTTTCAAAATAACTTGGCTTCTCACTGAGTGAAGGGCTGAGTTGCAGACCCTGGGGAAGGCTTTGAAAGAACAGCTTGAATTCTGCTTTGAGCAATGAAGCTCTAATGCAGCCAAGTCTGGTCTCTGGAAGGGGCTGTTAGCATTCAGGTGCAGTAAATGACTGCTTTGAGAGGACCACACACTGCAATCTTTTCAGCTATGTCATTTCTAATAAGCTCCTAAGCTTGGCAGAGCAGGTTTTCCAAACATTTTGCATTCCCAGCAGCACCACTCTGGGTTCTGGAGTGTCAGATTTCAATCCTCCTTGGCTGAGGAAAGAAATTTTTGGCTATTTGCTGGGTGCTAAGTAAATAGGAGAGGCATAAAGATTTCAGCAGCCTGAGAAAGCAATTATTGCAAGGCTTTAGGCTCTCAAATCAGAGAATTGCTTGTGGGAAGGGTACATTGAACAGAGAGGGGAGAAGTGTTGGGAAAAATTATGAAGAGCCCTGTTGGTAGAGGGATAAATATCTTTAATTTACTCCCAAACTGTACTTTGCCAAACCCCAGACTGTATCTTTTTAAGGCTGAGTTTTATATAACATCAAGGCAACTAAAATTTATGGAAAAGAATGAGTTCTAAGACTAAAAAGGAAAAAAAAAGTCTGCATGGGGGATAATTGAACTTCATTATATGTAATTAATCTTTGTGAATTTTAAAGGGAGATCCCAAGAATGTTTTTCATAAGTCTTCTCACAAACTAAAAGTTTACAGCTTTACAGTAATGTTTTTCAGCATCTGCTGGATTTAATTAGAAGCTGAGCTTGGCCAAACACATTGACATATCATGGTTGTACTCTTCATCCTGAGTTCCCTTTTGGAAAAGACTAACTCTTGTAGTCTATATGGGCTCCACAATGCCTTTCACTTATGCTTCACTCATTCCCACTTTTGTGCCTTGGTTACTCTCTTCCTTAGATTTGTTTCCTTAGCAAAGCTATAGTGGTATAATAAGAAATAGAGAGTAGAGAACCAGGCATGGATAGAAAGCTTGGTTTCAAGTGCTACATCTATCACAGATTACCAATGGCACCTTGCCTAAGTCACTTATCTTTCTGAACTTCTATTTCATCACCTGCAAAATGGCAACAACAATGCTCCACTGTCTACTACAGACTTGATATGACAATTTAAATGAGATAATGTATGTAAGACATTTCATAAACCTAAACACTTTATAGAACGCTACTAGGTTACTCTAGGGTACCTGGGGCACCTCCTTCTCACATATGGGGTCCCCAGAAAAGCTCTCAAAGATTCTACATAATCTATGTAGGTTCTACATATCCATTTAAAAAGTATCTCAAGGTTCCCCAGAAATGTTTTTACAGTACAAAGGACTGTACTCAAAGAAAGGACACATAATTAAATGTCATCATAAGAAAAAAGAGTAATAGAACATTTCCCCCACAAACAAAGAGAAAACTCATTCAGAAATATGCAGATCAACAGTGGGAAGAGTGGACGTGAATATATCAGGAACATGTGTGAGCATGATAAATGTGTAGAGGACCCATTCATGTCTCTAATACTCCAGGGCCACTTATATCTTCTGTGAATGTCTTTATACAGCTCATCTCAAGTAGCAAGATGAAGTGTTGTTTTATTTCTGTTTTTTGAGGGGTTTTCATGTCTGGTTATAACTATGGGATGGCCTTCAGGCATTGCTTGAGAATGGGCTGGAGTGATCCAAATTTTGATTTTTTTTCACTTGTGCATATGTGGGACAGCAACCCTAACCCAAATTGAACTCAGAGACTTCTCAAGATGAAAAGCAAAGGTTACCTTTACTACAATCACGAGAGAAGGGGTGTCTACTCTTCCGGTACATGCAGGAGAAAGGCCAGGCACACAAAAAGGAATGAGATTATATACCCTAATGCAAAAAAACTCTACCCACCACTATCCCTTACTCCCATTGGCTGGGGAGGTGGGCTTACATTCTAGGTGCAAAAGAAAATCTTCCTATCCCATTAGCTGGGATGCAGGCACGAAAGAAAATCTTCCCTGAAGACAAAGAACAAGGCGAGGTATAGCCAATCCAAGCATACATGTCCTTATTTGGAAGATCTAAGGCTGATGTGGTAGTGGTGTGACAATCAGGAGGGGGTTTAGGGTCAAATTCCTATAGGTTTAGGTAATTTAAACTTATGGCCTGTTTGTTCTCTCAGAGCCTATCTCTAATTTTTGAGACAGTCTTTTCATCACCACCCTGAGAAGTCTTCATGGAGGTTATATCTCATTCATGCACAGGAAAGGAATACTGAAGAAAAGGTACAGGGCTGATGGAACAGGTGAATAAAGGCCTTGTAGACATTTTTATGGAAATATCAGTATTCAGAGAAAGAATCAAACCCTAAGAGCTTGGTATTACCCAGACAGATAAGTCCACAACTGAGAGATGAGGCTCCAAAAAGATCGGGAAAATTATGGGGAAAAATGCATATTTTGTCCAGATAAGGGATGGGACCTTTGTTCTCAGTCAGATGTTCATTTAAAACTTGATTTTCAGCTATGCTAAAAGAACCTTTGAAATAACATTGCTTTCATTTTCATAAGACAAAGACCAGTATGCCCTGGAGGATAACAGAAGGAGGTGAAAGGTTTAAGGAATGGAAAAGTAGATTTAGAAATACAAATACCAACAAACTCTATCCCCCAGCCACATGGTACAAGCCTTATCCACCCCAACCACTGCCTGAGCTCAGCCCTAATTCTATATAATAGGGATAAGATTGACCTTAAGGGCCTAAGGGAGGTAACTAGGAACTGGGAGGAGTTCCTGGAGTAAGGAATAGACTACAACAGACTAAGATTCCCCTACAATGTAGGGGAAGTGTTTGGTCAGAATTTGAAAGAAACAAGACAGGTAGAGGGGTTTTATAAGCTAAGTTTAAAAGAAAAGCAGGAGATATTTAAGGAAGTTAGAGAGAAGAGGAAATGAACAGAAAGTTACTGAAAATTGTGTAGTTGGAGTAAAGCATTTTGAAGTTTTGGAGAAAAGTGAGCTGAGGTTTTGATTTCATCAAGATGAGGATATGGGAAATTTATCTATTTATTCTTTGATATGCAGCTTTGAATTAATTCTAAGCCCTGGGCTCCAAACCAGGGATATGGGTATGGGAAAGCTGTGGCTTATCCTTATCTAGAAAGCCTCAGGGATGGGTAAACAAGGCTGAGAAGCAAAAATTTTTGGCACTCTTTGAGGAAATAAAGGAAAAAGTTATAGGGAGGTAGGAATAGCTAACACATGTCTTTAAAAATCAGTTTATTGATAATAATGGACTCTCTTTTTTCAAGTGCTAACATTGCTACTGAGAAAATGGAATACAAACACTCATTGTATAAAATGGTGATGAAATTTTCCAACCTGCTTACAATGTAGAGTGAGTTTCATCTAAGGTTATTTGTCTATGACTTATGGAGCTTATGAAGTTATACCTGCAATATTATATATTGAAGTTATATCTTGAACCAACTTAGTTTTAACAAACTTCAGTCTTAAAGATCTATTTTTGCTTTAGAAGGTGAATATAAAATGCCTTAAGAGATGGATATATCTGTTAGTCTGGAGGTTTACAGCAATTTGGCCAGTGTTGTTTTGCCTAGGGTTTCAAGTTAACTATCATATGTTCACTATCTGTATGAGATTCCAGAACATAATTATTTTCTTGATTTCTAGTTATAGATTTTGTACTAGGATGAGTTTAGACTCTAGAAGAAGAAAAGGAAAAAAAAAGATACTGAGTAAATCTTAAGGGCTTGGTAAACTTAATTATTGCAACACTATGAGAGGAATAATAGTAACTTAGCCCTAAGCTGTATTTGGTAAATCTTGCTATTTTAGGTAAAATCTTGTGGGGTTGAAATCTGATATTTTGAGTTTTGATTTCAGATATTAATGTCTGCATTGTCATGAGGCCAATAGTCCACACTTGAATGGTGGGATGTCTATGTCTGTGTCTAGGAAAAGCTGAAATAACAACCTTGGCATGGCCAAAGGTAAGATATTCCTCACTCAGTTCCCCCTTTTAGTTACTTCCTTCTGAATAGGAATGTTTTCCACATGGTTAAATCCTGACTCTGGATTTGACCCTCAGTAAAAGAAATAGGATTTTGCCATAAACTTAATTATGAGTTCTGCTGAACTCAAACAGAGCTAAAGATGCTTTATCCTCATGTGCCTGGATTGAGTCATTTTCTGGCCTTTGACTTGAACCTAGAGGACTAATTTTGATGTTGTTATAATCAGTTCTCTGCTTTTTCCTTTCATGTAGCTATATATTCATATATAGGATGTGAGCTTTTTAAAATATTTCCTACTCCTAAAAAGAAAATTAGCAAGAGTGGAAAATTTTGAGAAATATATGTATATATATATATATATATATATATATATATATATATATATATATATATATATAAAACATACACACACACACACATACACACACACACATGCTTGAGCACTGAAAATAAATTTTAAGAATTGGGTTCAGAATTTTATATATAAAATTGCGTTGATAATTGGAAAGAAGAGAGAAATAGCAAGTGGTGTGTGATAAATGAAATTCTCTGAAGTTTCAAGTGAACTATGAGTTCCTAAATTGATGTCCTTCTTGTGGTTCTCTTGTTAAGAAGATCAGAATCGTGAGGTTTGAGCTGGTTTTCACCGCATGACCTAGGAAAAAGGAAATTGAGGAAGTTGTACTAAATTGTATTGAGTTCTGTTACTGATAGATTTTAATGGAATCACCTGCAAGTGACGTGAAGTCAAAGAATGAAATCTGATTGCAAGAGACCACTTCAGAGCTGCCTGAGAACAAGGCCTATTCAGGAATGTCCAGGGAAGGAGGTTTCCAGGGACCAGACAACTGCATGGGACATCTGGGACTCAAGATGAAATGTGCGGATTAATTGGACGTTGGGAGTGGATTATCAAGTTATACGGAGGATTGGTGTTATTCAAAATTGATGATCATTATTGTATTGCTTTGGTCTTTTGTTTTGTGGCATTCATATTTATTGAGTTTTCTTTAATATGTGTTGTGCCCTGTAAAATTTATACTTTTGTTATGTATGGTAGTCAGCTAAAAGTCTCCAAGGCTTTGAGCTACCCTAGCTAGTCAATAAAAACTTGCTGAATGATTCACAACTACATGACAAAAGCTAAAGTAATTGCTTAGAGAAACTGCACTGAAATTATTCAAGTAAGTGAACCTTTATATCCTAGAAGTTCTCTACCAGAACCAGCCAGGATAAGAAAATGAAGATCCCCAAACTGTGCTAACTCAAAGTCACAGAACCCCAAGGTTCTGTTTTCAAAAATGCTCCAAGGGTTGTTCTTGAAGGATGGAGTTGTCCTCCTTTCCTTGGTAGCAACCTCCAAGTATATACTTCATGAACGCCTTTATATCCTATTTTAATGCCAAATCTATATACCATACTAGCAACTGAAAGGAGCTTGCAAGGACTCATGTAGGAACATATTTGAGCTGAACTTCAAAGAAAATTAGGCATTCCAGGAGCAGAGGTGAGGAGGGATTATATTCTAGGTATGGAGGACAGTCTGCAAAAATGCAGACAGGAGATGGAATGCTGTGAATGAAAAACAGCAAGACATCCCCCTTAACCATGATTGTAAGGTGCACATGATTATAATGTATAAAGCTGGAAACAAGGTTGAAGCCAATTCTTAAGAGCCTTGTATACCAAACATAGGTGTCTATTTTTGAACCTAGAAGTAAAAGGAAGCCACTGACACATTTATTAGCACACTAACAGGGTGTGAACTGTGCCTTAAAGTGTACTTCTAAGATCTGTGTGGAGGTTGAACTGGAGAGAAGAAACACTCAAGGCAGTGATACCAAGTAGGAGGTTAATTATCATAACAGACTTGAGGGACAGACTACTGCGCAAACTCATTGAGGTGGGAAGTGGAATGCTGTGTATGGGGAACAAAAAGTAGAGTAGTTTGTCTAGCATAGGTTCCTAAAGTGGGCGATAACACCCCCTGGGAGGGGCTGGAATGATATAGGAGAGTGCTAGTAGTTTGAAATGAAGCAAATTTCAACAAAACAAAACAAACAATGGAGGGTTAAAGAAATAAATTTCCAGGGGGATGCTGAGTATTTTTTGTTTTGTTTTGTTTTGAGAAGCAGTGTAGAGTATAAAAAAAGACTTCTTTGGCATTTGGTAGTGTTTGGGTCTCTACTTTTAAAGTGGTAGTTGGCTTCGTACTCCTCTAGTGCCATGCTGTGGCATTAGTGAACTGATTTTTGGATTGATTTTTCTGTCAACTTATAACTTAGCCTGTAATGTAACACTTCAGATTCTTCACTTGCATAGAGAAGTTATAGACATGCAGAAATGACAACAACAACAAAATCTTTTGATAACCCATAAACGACAGTCAAGAATTTTTAATTCCAATGAAAAAAGTGTTTATCAAGAGACTACTGAAATATTTCAAGCCCTTTCCTAAATGCTGAGGTAAAAGGGAAGACGTAGTACATAGCCCCTTACTCCACATAGAATGACAGATCATAGATTTAGAACTTGAAGTGACCTTGTAGGCTAACTAAAGTTGAGGAACGTGAATGCCCAAAGAAGTCAAGTGCCTTGCCAAAGGTCAGAAGTCATAAGTGGCAGAAAAAAGTATTTAAACCCAGGTCCTCTAACTCTCAATCCAGAGCGCCTTCCATTGCACCATATGGTGTCTGACTTTTAAGAATTTATCCTATTGAGGTGATTGGATACTTAATCAGACCCATGAAATAAACAGTGAAACTGTGACAATGTCTAAATGCTGAAATATAGACAGGAATTCAGAGGAGTAGGAATCAGTGAAACCTGAAATGTGTTCATAGAATTTAGATCTGGAAGAAGTCTTAGTAATTGCATAGTCCAGGTGTGGGGAACCTGCAGCCTTGAGGCCACATATGGCCTTCTAGGACGTTAGGTACAGCCTTTTGACTGAGCCTAAGTTTTATAGAATAAATCCTTTTATTAAGGAGATTTGTTCTGTGAAGTTTAGATTCAAAGGGCTGCACTTGAGGACCTAGAGGGCTGCATGTGGCCATGAGGTCACAGGTTCCTCACCCTTCGTAAAGTCTAATATTCTTCAATTTACACGTGAGCAAATGGAGACCCAAAGAAGGGACTTAAGATCATTCAGTACTAAAAGACGAGATCTGGGATTTTAAAGCAAGCAAGTTGGTTCTAAATTAAACTTTGTATATTGCATTACACTGGAGGAGCTTCATGAATAAGATGTAACTTAAATTGCAATTTTAAAGATGGATAAGATTTGGACAGTGCAGATTTGATTGGGATACTTGAGTATAATTGTTCCAAAAGAGTTGACTGTGTGGGAGAAGAGGACAAAGACACACTCCCATATGAACCTCAGGCACATTGTCTCCAGCTATTTTCTTGTACGTGTGCTGAAGGACACTTCCACTGCAGCTGTATTTTTTAGTGTTTCATTCTCACCTCTTATTATAACCAAAAGACTTAGCTATTGAAGGTGGAGGATTCTAGAGGTTAGGAAAGTTTTCCTCCCTGTCTGTTCTAACAAGTAGATTAATTTAAGTGAGACCAGCTCTACTCAGATAATAACTCCTTTATCTATCTCCTTTAATGAAGAAGACACATTTTTCTCCAAAAATCTAATTTTTTTTGTATAACCACCTATTTTATGAATAGCCATTTTTATTTTCTTTATTTCACACAAATGTTATTTTGAATAATATTTATCTTGTGAATGCTGCCCTAAAAATCTGTATATAAGGAGACATATCATGCTTGGAATAGATTGCTGTCACCTTTGTAGCCTGCCCAACCCTGCCAAAATAAACAGTTACATGCTTCACTCTTAATTGACTCCTTACTGCTATTATGCTACCCTTACCTCAAGGACCCAGGTTGATTAGTGATGACTCTCTTGGATCTCTAAAAATTCTACCACAACTACTACACCGTTGGAAATTACATTATGAGGCACCCAGGTAGAATAGTGAATATAGTATTGGACTGGGAGTGAGGAAGATTTGAATTCAAATGCTACCTTAGATACTTTCTTTATTACCTCCTTTCAAATTGTACTGTAAGCTCCTGGACGCAAGGATTGCTGTTATTATACGTATTTGCATTCTCATCAAATAGCATCATTGCACATAGGAGGGGTTAAATTGGATGAGAATCATTGTATCCCTCTCAGTGCCATACTCAAGGTCTTAAAGAGATAAATTGTTGAATGAATGCTGATTAAATTGGGGATGTGGGAGAATGGGAAAAGGGAAATGTGGGGCAGACATTGTCTCATTCTGTCGAATCTCTCAAACAGCTGCCAGGACCCAAAGAAAGGAATGAAACTTCTCTTCTTTGTCTACTAGTTGAGGTTTAGTTTTGGCCATATGATGTAGACAGGACATTGTGTGCATTAAATTTGTATTTTCCAAATGGGAATGAGATCAGTAGTTCTATTAGGAGCACCTGTGAGCTTTTAATGTAGGATCTCAGAATTGCCCAGTGGAAAATTACCCTTGGCCATCCCCACGGTATTTTTGTTGTCCTCTATTATTCTTCAATTGCTTAGTGTCTCCATTTATAAGTGCCTGCATTAAGTCCAGAAGCAAACATTGTGAATACATAATATCTAGCTGTGCTAGAGCAGTTTTAAAAGGCTATAAAATGCTTCCTGGTGGTTAATTTTATTGTGAGGTAAGGTCTATGGTGTTTTTCCCCTAACAAGGTACTCCTACAGAAGTGGAGATTAAAATTCACTCAGCTTATCCAAAAACAAATACCTAATGCTGAATCAATAGGTTAGTGACTCTACTTGGATAGGGAACATTTGGAAGTAGGAAGATTCTTTTGTCATATTTTCAACTCAGTGAAGCCTTTAATATAGTGATTTCCTTTTCCCCCCAAAGAGTTGTTTCTAGCACAGGTTAGAGGAAACACAGGCTAAATGGATGATGGTAATTGTTTGCCATAGTCGTAGAGGGTTTACTTGACCAAATAGTTATGCAATGACAAGAATTCAGAGATTATACTTGGCCTACTGCAAATCAATGAAAAGCTTATTCAGAGAAAAGCTAATTACATGGTTTTTTACATTAATTAATCATCCTTAGTCAAAAGTTGGGACCTCCCATTAGAACTCTTGAGTGCTGCCATATTCCTGCTGTCACTGGTTTTGACTACATTCCTAATGGGAATGTGAGCACAACTGTATATAACCATCACCTACCCTGCCCAAGGAATTTATTGTCAATACAATCCTATTCTGTCCTATTATGCTAATATCAGTACTTTAGGGAAATGAAAATAAACTCATCATCCAAAAAGTAATTGGAGACACCTTCTCTATCTGTTACATTATTGTTCAGTCATTTTTCAGTTGTGTCTGACTCTTTGTGACTCCATTTGGGGTTTTCTTGGCATACCGGATACTGGAGTAGTTTACTATTGCCTTCTTTAGCTCATTTTGCAGACTAGGAACTGAGGCAAACGGGGTGAAGTAACTTGCCCAGGGTCATCCATACAACTATTAAGTGTCTAAAGCCAGATTTAAACTCATAAAGATGAGTCTTCCTGATTCAAAGCCCAGTGTTCTATGCACTGCACCACCGAGCTGCCTTCTTTTTTTGTCTACGCACATTTATTAGGTATCTACTATGTATAGGCCATTGAGCTGAGTCTTGAGGGGGATACTAAGGACAAATAAGGTATTGTCGCCAGCTTCATGGAGCTGACAGTATAGCTGGGTCAGCATGATATTGTGGAAAGTACACTCAACAAGATTTTTGGAGATCTATTTACTTGTAATGGGCAAGTCACTTAAGTTCCCTCAGTCTGTTTCCTCATTTATAAAATGGAAATAATAAGTGTTGCCATGCCATCTTCAGTGAAAAATGTTTTGTACATATTAAAATGTGCAT